GTCAAGGAGGAGGATATTCCGAAGACGGCATTCCGTACGCGGTATGGCCACTATGAGTTTCTGGTTATGCCATTTGGGCTCACCAATGCACCGGCAATATTTATGGATTTGATGAACCGGATCTTCCGGGAATTCTTAGATCGTTTTGTAGTCGTTTTCGTGGACGACATTATGATTTATTCACCATCTGAGGAGGAGCACGAGGAACACTTGAGAGTGATGCTTGAGTTGCTTAAAGGCTATAGACTGTATGCCAAGTTCGGGAAGTTTGAGTTCTGGCTAAGAGAGGTCAAATTCTTAGCCCACGTGGTTTTTGGGGAAGGGGTGTCTGTTGATACATCCAAGATTGAGGTAGTGTAAGATTGGGCACAGCCTAAGAGTGTTTTTGAGATCCGCAATTTTCTGGGATTAGCTGGGTATTACCGCCGGTTTGTGAAGGATTTCTCCAAACTAGCTTCGCTATTGACTAGATTGACGCGGAAAGGGGTCAAATTTGTATGGAGTGAGACTTGTGAAAAGTCGTTCCAAGAGTTGAAAGTTAGATTGACCACCGCTCCGGTTTTGATTATTCCAGAGAGAGGGTTGGGTTATGCGGTTTATTGTGATGCCTCACGAGAGGGTTTGGGTTATGTGTTGATGTAATAGGGGAAAGTGGTAGCATATGGCTCGCGGCAGTTGAAAATACACGAGAAGAATTACCCTACGCATGACCTAGAATTGGCAACAGTGATCTTTGCCTTGAAGATTTGGAGGCATTATCTGTATGGTGAGAGGTTCGAGGTGTTCTCAGACCATAAGAGTTTGAAGTACCTGTTTACACAGAGAGACTTGAATTTGAGGCAGAGGAGGTGGATGGAGTTCATCGAGGACTATGATTTCGAGTTACACTATCACCCGGGAAAGGCCAATGTTGTGGCCGATGCCCTTAGTAAGAAATCCATTAGTGATGTTGCTCGTATAGCCATCCGAGAGTGGGAGATGTTGGGTGCACTTGGCGAGTTTGATTTGCTTCTGGGCGAATTCGTTGAGGCTGCGGCCTTGTTTTCTGTTGTTGCATAGCCTACACTTGTGACTTGAGTGTTAGAGGCACAGAAAGGTGACCTTGAGGTAGAATCCCTCCGAGAGAAGATCTCCAGTGGGAAGGTTGAAAAGGGTTTGGCTGTGTATCCCGACCTGAGTGTGAAATACCGAGACCGTTTGTTTGTGCTGGAGTCTCGCCAGGAGGAGGTACTCCGAGAGTTTCACCATTCACGTCTTATGGTGCATCCGGGAGCCACTAAGATGTATTGTGATTTGGGTCGCCAGTTTTGGTGGCGGGGTATGAAGAAAGATGTGGCAGTGTTTGTGTCTAAGTGCCTTACTTGTCAGCAAGTGAAGGCCAAGTGAAGGCTGAGCATCAGAGGCCAGCGGGTTTGTTGCAACCCTTGCCTATTGCCGAGTGGAAGTGAGAGCATGTCACTATGGACTTCGTTGTAGGTCTTCCGAGGACTTAGCAGGGTAGTGATGCTATTTGGATGGTTGTAGACCGGTTGACTAAGTCGGCGCACTTTATCCCTATGCGCGTGAAGGATTCGGTAGATCATCTTGCCGACTTGTATGTTCGGGACATAGTGAGGTTGCACGGAGTCCCAGTGTCGATCGTCTCAGATAGAGATTCACATTTTACTACTAGGTTGTGGTAGAGTTTGAAGAGTGCCTTGGGCACTAGATTGACCTTTAGCACGGCTTATCATCCTCAGACTGACGGGCAGTCCGAGCGTACTATTCAGATCCTTGAGGATATGCTTTGAGGTTGTGTTCTTGACTTTAGTGGGTCGTGGGAAAGGCACTTGCCCTTGGTGGAGTTTGCCTACAATAATAGTTTCAAGTCGAGCATCGGTATGGCACCGTTTGAGGCTTTGTATGGCCGATTGTGTAGGTCTCTAGTATGTTGGGCCGAGGTGGGTGATGCACCTTTGTTGGGCCCGAATTTGGTGAGGGAAACGACGGAGAAAATTGATCTTATCCGTAGGAGGCTTGTTACAGCCCAGAGTCGGTAAAAGAGTTATGCCGACCGTAGGAGGAGGCCTTTGGCATTTGAGGCGGATGATCATGTTTTTCTGAAAATATCACCTAGATGGGCTTTGATGAGGTTTGGGAAGAGTGAGAAGTTGTCCCCTCGGTTTATCGGTCCCTTTGAGATCCTTGAGAGGATTGGGGAGGTTGCTTAGCGTTTAGCTTTACCGCCACAGTTGCCCAGGGTGCGTGATGTGTTTCATGTTAGTATGCTTCGGAAGTACGAGCCGGATCCATCGCATGTATTAGATTGGACCGACTTAGAGGTTGATGAGGATACCTTGTATGAGGAGAGACCGATTCAGGTCTTGGATAGGCGGGATCAAATCTTGCGAGGCAAGACCATTCCCTTGGTGAAAGTTTTGTGGAAGTATCACGGAGTGGAAGAAGCCACTTGGGAACGTGAGTTGGAGGTCCGTGAGCAATATCCGGACTTGTCTGTCAATGTGTAATCATGTATCAGTAATTTAGTAATATTGATGAACTTTAAGAGCATTGAATATATCTTAAGTTGTAAAACATTGTAAATGTTTCGGTTTATAGAAGTTTATTTTAACATTGCATATGTTAATTCTGTTTTAGAAATGCAAATATAATGTTGGCATTGAATATGTTTTGAGATGCATGTTGATAATGCATGTTGGAGATTATGTTGTAATTTGCCTCTGGGATAGAGATGGGATGACCGGTGATGGGTCAGGTTATGGAATGTTGGTTGGTAATGTTATGGAGAATTGAGGAAAACTTGTTTTTCAAAACTTGTATCTAATTTCGGGGACGAAATTCCTTAAGAGGGGGAGGTTATAGCGATCCCGGTTTTCCCTTCCATTGTTTATTGTATTCCAGACTTGGTTCCGTGGTTATGTTGTTGTCTTATTCTCATTTTCATCCTTTACTTTTTGTATTTGAGTCTTGGGTTGTGTTGGGCAGATTTGGAAGAGGTTGGTTGTGTTTAGAAACCAAAAGTTGATGTCCAGATTTTGGCCTTCACGCTCGAGCGGGCCCTTTGTTGTTGCTTATCCGCTCGAGCGGGCATTTTGACGCTCGAGCGTGAATATTCATCTCCCAGTATTTTCTCTGCAGGTCATCGTACGCTCGAGCAGGAGTTTTGACGCTCGAGCGGGCCCTTTCGATTTTGTTCCTCCGCTCAAGCGGGGACCATGGTCTGCAAAACTTCTGGAAGTGTGCAATCGACGCTCGAGCGGCGCTTTTCACGCTCGAGCATGAGTTTGTATCTGACGCTCCAGCGGGGAGTTCCACGCTCGAGGGGGGCGACTTTTATATCAGTCCGAAAAGTGACATTTTGGATCACTTTTTGACTTTCTTTCTCTCTCCTACTTTTTCAAAACCTCCATTGAAGAGCACCTTACTCTAAAACTCCAACTTCTCTCTAGAGTTTGATCTAGTATGAGTGGTCTTCTATCCTTGGGCCTTTGTAAAAAGTATGGAGCTTGTTGAGGGCTACATTTTGATCTGAAAATATTGGGGTTTAGAACACTTTCAAATTTCTTCATCTTCTCCTTTGAGCTCCGAATTTGAGGTAGGGATAACTACTCATTTTTATGGTCTTTGACATAAACTATTGGTCATTTTGATGTAATGTTGAAGTTGGGTAATTTTGGGTGTTAGGGTTTCAAAATGAATAAAGAGGGGTTTGGTTATTTTGACTCATAAATGTGTATCTTGGGTCTTAAAATGATGGTATTGATGTTGTTGATGATATATGAGACCTTTGGGTCATTGTAGAGAAAAATGGGGAGAAAGTCCTAAATTGTTGTATGAATTAATTTATATAATTAATTTGGGAATGTTATGGAAATATGGAATTGAGTTGGAAATAATGAAATTGGCCCATTATAAGAGGGAATGGTGGGGTTGGATTTATTAATCGCTCACTTATGAAATTGTTGTCAAATTATCTATTGATGCATTTATTATCTGTTTAGAAATAAATTGCTTTGGGCTATCGGTGGTGGATAGTCTTGATTGTTGTAGACAATGCATGATGATTAGGCGAATTAAAACTAATCAATTGATTATGTCATCGAATATGACGGTTGGAATAATACATCAAATTCATGTATTGACTGCTCATGTATATGATATGTGTTTATATACATTGTGTTGTGTGGGAGGAGATAGGGGATGCACTCCACGGTTTAGGGAATTTAGGGGAAGATAGGGGATGGACTCCTAAACCAAATTTTATTCGGGAGATAATAGGGGATGAACTCCATTGATACAGCAAATCTGTGTATCATATATAAAGTATGGAAGTGTTTTAATGTGTTATTGATACAGTGAATCTGTGTATCATTTATGAAGTATGGAAGTGTTTTGATGCGGTATTGATACAACAAGTATGTGTATCTATTGTGAATTATAGAAGTGTTTTGATATGAGTTATAGTCTCATTAAATTATTGGCCAGGTTCTGAGCCTTATTCATAAATTGAGAACTGGGTAAGTAATGGAAAATAGAATGAAACATGGACATATTTGTCATGAAATTGAAATGTGTTATAAGTTGGTATATATGAGTTAAACATTTATCGAATGCTAATGTTTTAGTTATTACTCATATTATGTTTAGCATATCTCTACTGGGCATTGGCTCACCCTTTATGGGACATCATTTTCAGGTTCAGTTATTATGCCGCCTCCGAGGTCTTAGCTTGGATGGTTGTGGGAGTTGAAGGCTCTTGTTTATTTTTGTATATTACATATAAATCAAGCCAAGGGCTTATTTTGTGTTTTGAGTTAGTACTCTCTTTTTGTAACCAAGTGTCGACTTGAAAAGTTGTAAGCCCGTAGGGCATTTACTTTTGATGTCAACATGTAATACTTTTGTAATGAATACTCTGATGAATGAAATTATGCTTTGCTCTCTTATGTCTAAGCATGTCAAGATTGTATGATTTATGGGTTTATTTTGAGAGCGTTACATTAACAATTCATACGCTTTTTGCTCATGAGACTTCGAAAAGTCCGATCCTTGCCCATTTTACTCTTGCTAGCATTGTTCTCATACTTCTTGTTCAACCTCCTCACTTTTTTCAGACAATTGGGTCTTGCTAACATTAATGTGCAGCGATATATTGATGAAATTATAAAAAGCATTGATATTTGCGAGTGGATCAAACCTTTTTTCACAGTATATTCAATCGTACCTTTCAAAATCACAATCTCATCCTCTTCATTCCACAGACTTTGAAACAATTGCTTCTTCGTATCATCACCAGTCTTCTTGGCCGAGTCCTTTTGAATAACTATATCAGAATCCACCACTTTTTTCTTCGCCATCTTCGATTCCTGATTACTGTTGTTCTCGCTCGCCGCAAGCCTTTTCATTGGAAATTTCGCCGAACCAAGCTTGGATCTAGGTTTATTAGTAACTTTGGGTGGATCTTCTCCCATGGGTTTGGAAGCAAGAGGCTTGATGCGAGGATTGGTGGGAGAAGTGTCCGATTTGGAGCTTGAATCGTCTTTAAATGAAGATTGGGGATTTGGTGTTGAGGTCTGAGCTATCACTAGTTTCTTTAGAGACAAAAAAGGTTTTTTTTGATGAAAAAGTGTAATTGAGTTGGTTTTGTTCAGATTCAAAGTCTTCTTGATCTTCATTCTCTTCTGATGAAACTTCTTCTTTTACCTTAGAAGATGGTTCTAGTTCGGGTAGACCGTTGTTTGCCATTTTTGTAGAAAGAGAAGGAGAAGATTGGTGAGAGCTAGGGTTAGCATCTCCAATGCAGGAGCCAAAATGGGAGAATTAGGCATTTTGCCTATTGAAGCTGGATTTCGAAGCTCCAACGCGCTCTATAATTGAGGAGGCATTTTGCCAATTCTCATTTTGGCTCTCCACAGGTAGCCAGCGTCCATTACTAGGCAAAGCACTCTTCCCGCCATTGTGTTGGCCTCCATCGCTGCTTGTTCCATCTTTGTTTCTAGCCCATTAATCACAGGTATGGCTCTCTTTCTCTTTCTCTTTTTCGACTTCCATGTTCTTTCCCATCATCTATCTGTAATCGTTTTCCATACACCGAACCACCTCCTGCATTCCGAAATCCTCTCTCAAACCCATTCCCTTCTACAAAACCCTCTTTTAAACCCTTCTCCCTATGTGCGAATCCCCTCCCAAACTCTTCCCTTTTCTGTGAAACTTTATCCCAAACCCTCTTCTATCTTGCTATGTTAAATTTGTGCAAAGGAATACATGATTTAGGGCAATCCATTTGCAAAAATTGGATTTGTGTACTAAAATTGTTCACTGCAAAGAAATTGTGTACTGAAATTGTTTCAGTGGCTGCTAGGTCATGCTGCAAATTACTGGTTTTAATTGTTGCTAAGGAAGAAAATGATGTTATTGCTATGGAAGAAAATGATGTTATTGCTGTATTTGTAATTTATGGTTTTAATTGTTCCATTAAACTTTGTTGCATTTGTAATTGTTTATGGATACACACATTTTCAAATTATAGAAACTGAAACATAGAAATTTGTAATGATCATTAATGGAGATCAATTTCATAACCTTTGTAAAATTTTGGTTTTTCTTTCTAGTATACCAGTAGTAGAAATACTGTTAAAATTCTATTGCTGATATAATACACATTTTGTTTTGATCAACAATATCAATGAGAATTAACATAAAAATTAAGTAGCAAAAATTCTGTTGCTTTACTTTGCAGTTGCTTATATCTTACTTGAATTATTGGTTTCAAAATCTAATAAGCTGCAAGTATGGCTGTCTCTAAGTGCATTATGTCCACCCTTCTGAAATTCATTATTTTTGGAATTAGGCCATGAATTGATACTCTTTTTTTTTTTTTCTTTTTGTGTGGTATGAACAATTGTGCTTTAGATGGAATATCAAGGAAATGCATATTTTAGCAACCTAATAAACGACGAGTTTGACCTTGACCATGATTTTGCCACTGAATCTCCTCAACCTAAATTCATTACATCACTTTTATATGGCTTGTTGCTAGCACATTTTGTATTGTTTTATTTAGAGTAAATGTCATGACCCAAACCCACCCCTATGGATTAAGATCATAACCGGCCAATAATCCAGGGATTACCTGCGGCCTCAAACCAATTAAAACATATCTTATCAGAGTGAAGGGGCTGTAACGGAAGCAAATTTAAAACTTTGTCCATAGAGTTGTGCTTACATGATAAAGCAAAATCATTCCATAAACATTTCATAATGACTCACACATATACAAAAGTTATTCTTTATCCAGGAACTTTCAATTATACAGTCAGCCAAACAAAACTTATATACAAAGGTGATCCAACGTTTCCACCAACATAACAAAAATATGAAAAAAAACAAAAGGGTGAAAACAAGTCTCGTGCGTGAGACATAAGGGCTGACTCCTCAAAACTTTAACTATCTTTCGCATACTTCACTGAGGCTGGGTTGGGACATCTCTTGGCTCACCTACAGACACATGAATGAGGGTGAGTGAAAGCCCAGTGAATAATATCAAGTAAGGAAGATACATGAACGAACTTTGAAACAGTTATATTAGACGGCCTTGGGCCCAATTCATGTTTCTATCTAATGTATCAAACGACTAAAGTGCTAGACGTATCACACGGCCTCGGGCCCAATTCACTCATATCCGACGGCCTTTGGCCCATTCATTCACGTCCAACGGCCTTTGGCCCACTCGTTCATATCTGACGGCCTTTGGCCCAATCATTTGTGTCAAACGGCCTTTGGCCCAATCATTCATGTCAAGCGGCCTTTGGGCCAATCTTTCATGTCAAACGGCCTTTGGCCCAATCATTCATGTCAAAACTGCCTTTGGCCCAATCATTCATGCCAAACGGCCTTTGGCCCAATCTTTCATGTCAAACGGCCTTTGGCCCAATCTTTCATATCAAATGGCCTTTGGCCTAAACTTTAGCATCACAAACATTTGTCCATAATTCAAATTATCAGACTTGAGGAATTCAAATAGGAGTAAGCAATTGGACAAATAACATACTTCAAATATCTTTACTAAGATATTACTCACAGTGATCTGCCGGTGGATTTGCTCTCGTGCTTGACCCTACACATTTCATGAACATAATGGGTCACAAACGATTCAATCCGTTCTTAATTCATACTGTCATGACCCCAACCCGCCCCTATGGATTAAGGTCATAACCGGCCAGTAATCAAAGGATTACCTACGGCCTCAAACCAAACAAGACATATCTCATCAGAGTAAAGGGGCCAAACGGAAGCAAATTAAAAACTTTGTCCATAGAGTTGTGCTTATATGCACATCATAACATTTCACATAAGTATTCGTTAATAACTCACATCAAAAGGGAAGTTAACATATAATCTTTACATAACAGGATCATTCAAGTTTTAGTCAGCCTAGCCAAAACTTATATACAAAGGTAGTCCAGCTTTTTTGCCTACATAACAAGATTATAACAAAAGATCAAAAGAGGCGAGAGTGAGTCTCATGCGTGAGACGTTTGGGCTGACTCTCCAAAATTGGACCTTTTTCACAGACTTCACCGGGGTTGGGTTTGGACATCTCTTTGCTCACCTACATACACATGAATGAATGTGAGCGAAAGCCCAATGAATAATATCAAATAAAGAAGGTACGCAATTGAGATTCACATATATCAAACGGCCTTGGGCCCATGTTGCTTAGCGTTTAGCTTTACCGCCACAGTTGCCCAGGGTGCGTGATGTGTTTCATGTTAGTATGCTTCGGAAGTACGAGCCGGATCCATCGCATGTATTAGATTGGACCGACTTAGAGGTTGATGAGGATACCTTGTATGAGGAGAGACCGATTCAGGTCTTGGATAGGCGGGATCAAATCTTGCGAGGCAAGACCATTCCCTTGGTGAAAGTTTTGTGGAAGTATCACGGAGTGGAAGAAGCCACTTGGGAACGTGAGTTGGAGGTCCGTGAGCAATATCCGGACTTGTCTGTCAATGTGTAATCATGTATCAGTAATTTAGTAATATTGATGAACTTTAAGAGCATTGAATATGTCTTAAGTTGTAAAACATTGTAAATGTTTCGGTTTATAGAAGTTTATTTTAACATTGCATATGTTAATTCTGTTTTAGAAATGCAAATATAATGTTGGCATTGAATATGTTTTGAGATGCATGTTGATAATGCATGTTGGAGATTATGTTGTAATTTGCCTCTGGGATAGAGATGGGATGACCGGTGATAGGTCAGGTTATGGAATGTTGGTTGGTAATGTTATGGAGAATTGAGGAAAACTTGTTTTTCAAAACTTGTATCTAATTTCAAGGACGAAATTCCTTAAGAGGGGGAGGTTATAGCGATCCCGGTTTTCCCTTCCTTTGTTTATTGTATTCCAGACTTGGTTCCGTGGTTATGTTGTTGTCTTATTCTCATAACATTTCAGAGTAAAGGGGCCAAACAGAAGCAAATTAAAAACTTTGTCCATAGAGTTGTGCTTATATGCACATCATAACATTTCACATAAGTATTCGTTAATAACTCACATCAAAAGGGAAGTTAACATATAATCTTTACATAACAGGATCATTCAAGTTTTAGTCAGCCTAGCCAAAACTTATATACAAAGGTAGTCCAGCTTTTTTGCCTACATAACAAGATTATAACAAAAGATCAAAAGAGGCGAGAGTGAGTCTCATGCGTGAGACGTTTGGGCTGACTCTCCAAAATTGGACCTTTTTCACAGACTTCACCGGGGTTGGGTTTGGACATCTCTTTGCTCACCTACATACACATGAATGAATGTGAGCGAAAGCCCAATGAATAATATCAAATAAAGAAGGTACGCAATTGAGATTCACATATATCAAACGGCCTTGGGCCCATGTCGAATTCGATTTAGTGCATTATTTTGGTACATTAGGCGATTCAAGCCCGAACATATCAAACAGCCTCTGGCCCATTTCGTTCTTTGACAAACGGCCTTGAGCCCAATTCATTCATGTATATCAAACAACCTTTGGCCCAATCAATTGTATCCAACGGCCTTTGGCCCAGCCATTCGTATCCAACGACCTTTGGCCCAACCATTCGTATCCAACGGCCTTTGGCCTAATCATTCATGTATGTCAAACGGCCTTTGGCCCAATCAATTGTATCCAATGGCCTTTGGCCCATTCATTCATTCATTCATTCATTCATTTATGTCAAACGGCCTTTGGCCCATTTGTTCATTCATGTCAAACGGCCTTCGGCCCAATCATATGGCATAACAAATATTTGTCCACAATTCAAATTAACAAGCTTATGAGACTTATAAGGAAGAAGCAATAGGACAAATAGCATACTTCAAATCATCTTTACTAAGGTATTACTCACAGTGTTCTGCCGGTGGATTTGCCCTGGAGCTCGACCCTACACATTACATAACACATATGGGCCACAATCAATTCAATCCGTTCTTAATTCATACATCCCTCTTAGGCTTCTTTCTTATTCTTTTAATTCATTCATAATGCTCAATGCATGCCTAAGAGTACTTAGAAGCGAAAGAGAACAAAAAATGAAACACATAACACTTTTACAAATTTTCTGAAACAGGGGTCCCCGCTCGAGCGTGGGTTCCGCCGCTCGAGCGGACCGTGATGGTCTGCATAAATACTAGTTACCTCATTTCTACGCTCGAGCGTGAATTCGGGACGCTCGAGCTGAATGTCAAACTACACGGCTTG